GTGGTGGAAAACCTGGCTGTTGTTGTGTAGAATTAGGTTGTGGTGGAAAACCTGGCTGTTGTTGAATAGAATTAGATTGTGGTGGAAAACCTGGCTGTTGCAATGTAGAATTAGGTTGTGGTGGAAAGCCAGGTTGTTGCTGTGTAGAATTAGGTTGTGGTAGAAAGCCTGGCTGCTGTAATGTAGAATTAGACTGTAGTGGAAAACCAGGTTGCTGCAATGTAGAATTAGGTTGAGGTGGAAAACCTGGCTGTTGTTGTAAAGAATTAGATTTTGGTCGAAAACCTTGCTGTTTCTGTGTAGAATTAGATTGTGGTGGAAATCCTGGCTGTTGAATAGTAGAATTAGGCTGTGGTGGAAAACTGGATAGTTTCGATGTAGAATTCAGTTGAGGTGGAAAGCCTGGCTGCTGCGATGAAGAATTTGGTTGTGGTGGAAAGCCAGACTGCTGCATTGTAGAATTAGCTTGCGGTGGAAGACCTGGCTGTTGCTGAGAAGAATTAGGTTGTGGTGAAAAATCTGAATGTTGCGATGTAGTACTAAGTTGAGATGAAAAACTCGATTGTTGTGATACTGAATTAGATTGTGGAAAACCTGATTGTGGCTGTGTAGAACCAGGTCGTGATGGAAAACCTGGTTGTTGCGGTATTGAATTAGGCTGTGATAAAAAACCTGACTGTGGTGTTATATTAGATTGAGATGGAAAACAAGGCTGTTGCAATGTAGAATTAGGTTGTGGTGGAAAACCTGGTTGCTGTAATGCTGTACTAGACTGAGGTGGAAAACCTGGTTGCTGCGATTTTAAATTAGATTGTGGTGGAAAGCCTGGTTGCTCTAAAACTGTAGTAGGCTGAGTTGAAAAACCTGATTGCTGTGATTTTAAATTAAGTTGTGGTGGAAAACCTGGTTGCTGCAATGTAGAATTAGGCTGTGGTGGAAAACCTGGCTGTTGTATAGAATTAGATTGTGGTGGAAAACCTGGCTGTTGTTGTGTAGAATTAGGTTG